AGCTGTGCTGGCTGGGGAATTCTGGGAGTTGAAGTCCACACATCTTCAGGCCGCCAAGGTTGAGAAACACTGGTCTGCAGAGAAAAACGGGGAATCAGGAATTTATGTTACATGCTTATTTCATCTGCATATCTTATCCTTATCCAACACTGCAGTTGGTCTCTGAGTTAAACTGACCTTCAACTACATTCTCATAAAGATTGCAGTTAGGCTGTTTAATGTGATCACTGATAGGAGTTATAACGTCCTATCTGCAAGCTGAAATTTTCTCAGAGGTTTTCCTAATGCAGTTCCCAGGACGGGTATATTAGGGTTTTTTTGCTGGGGGTAAAAGTCTGTTGGACCTGCTGCAAGCAGAAAATCCTATGGATTTTCTATGTAACTACTACAGGAAATCCTATGATTAGAACCTGATTGCATATATAGTACGGAAGGAGGGATTTTTGGAGGACCCAGTACTAAACTGTGGTTTGCTTAATCATAATCCGTTGATTAAATGGCAACTGCCTAGATTTCACCTAACACACTAAGCCATAAGCTATGGCTCATAAACCATAACCGGTAGATTAATGTAACACATTAGGTCATCCTGTTTGTTCCTGCTAAGGACAAAGTCGTCATGATTCGATTCTTCACACCTTTGCTCTTTGGGTATTTACCATTTTAAAGTAATTAGCTGGTGTGCTTAATGAGAACCATGGCATGGGGAGGGAAGTGTTTCTAGTACTCAGCCACAGACCTGGTCCAAATGTTTGCTCTGCTATCCTTTTTCAAGAAGTTCACAGCAAGGTGCAATTAAAAAAATGTAAGCAGCGGGCAATTTTACATAATGCTAGGCTGCTCCCCCCCAAAAAAATGTTACTAGTATTTTTAAATTGAAAAGAGTGCACATTTCATATGGAGACCTTGCAGGATTTAGCTTTCCCAATGAGACTTCTGGCTTTTCTTAATTTTTATTTTAAAAATAACAACAGGGGCCCTTGAGTGCCATCTAGTGGCACTGGGGGCTCCCTGGCAGCTTTGGGTGCAGTGTTGCCAACCCCCACGTTACAGAGATCAAGTTCTATCTAAAGTTCAAGGTACTATACTAGTATAGTATTGTATTGTAAGAAAAGTACAATACAAGATCCAGACCAGTCATTCTTTCTCAGCCAAGTTACCTGACAGGGTTGTTGTGGGGAAAAATGGAAGGAAAGAGTGTTATGTTAAGACACCTTGAGCTTTTGTAGAAATCAAGGTGAGATATAAATCCTGCTGGACAAAGGGAGATTCTATAGAAAAAGGATCATGTTTTCTGATTCCAGGAATGCTTGCACAACCTACGTGGCTCAGAAGGTCCACAAGAGAGGGCTGAGATTCTTTATGCAGCTTTTTTAGAAAAAGAAAATTCAGGATGTTGCTACGTTACCTGGACCCTTAAACTGTTGGAGGCCAGGTCTTTGGCACAACTTCTCAAGCACAGTTGGGATAGTCAATATTTCTCAGAGCTACTTCCAAGTTCATTGCTGGGTTTCAGACGCTGGAATGCAGCTGGAGGCCAGCCTGGCCAAGGTGCAGGCTAAGTGGGGATATCCATGTTAGATGTTGGGTGAGATTATTCTGCCTCCCATGGAGGGATTTGTGTTCTGCAGGTTATTCAAGAGGCAGGGAGAAAGCAGCACCCCTTTTCTCTGAAAAAAGCCCACTGTGAGACACGTTTTTTTTTTTTAACCTTCCCACAGTGGTGATTGCCTGCAAGATGGCGGGAGCGGCTATGTACGAGCTGGTCCGCGTTGGCCACTTTGAGCT